TTATTGCTCATAATCATATCAAGGTATGATATGAGAAATTATGAGCATTATTATGATTATGAGCAATAAATTGTGCTCGAAACGTCATCAGTAAATATTACCGTATAACACTATGAGACTTTATAAAAATAAATTTTACCCATAATGGAATTATAATCTACCACAATGCACAAATTTCAGTTAGGATACATGGTCCATTGGATTTGGTCCCATCCGCTGGATAATCAATGGACTGGCAATGTAACCAGAAAGTCGTATATTCCATTTCCAGTTGGGTAACGGGTGAGCAGTGCTGAAACGTCTAGACCCGAACAAAAAAGCTTTCCAGTACATCCTGGTCTTCAGTGGTTCTTTAAATGAAGTCATCTGGTGACTCAGCTGGATATCGATCAAATCCATGCCAAAAAAAACTCGAAAATGTTTTCACGAATCCTTTTAAAATCCTATTCGAAAAAATAATGACAACACAGGAGAAGACCAAAGATGCCCACATACTTTTTTTATTCCGTAACGTTCCCGTGGCAACATAGGGATTCCACCGAGACGCTTCAACTTTCAGCAGCAGTGGTATTTATTTTGACGGGATAGCGTAGCTAGCCTCATGACCAGCGTTCCCTCTTTACCAGTCTTATTATGTCATCAGAAAGGTAAAGCAGTGCAACAAAGATATCTTTTCGGCGATTTCATTTTCAAAAGCTGTACAATCGCATTTGAAAACATAGTTTTACATGGATACATAATTGCGATGGCGAATAAAAGGTGACAATTATTTTCAACTAGATCTGGTTTACGAGAGGCTTCGAAACAAAATTAACACAGGATTAGAACGGATAACGAGTGTGTAGAAAATGAGCATGGAAACAAAATTGAAATAATAATTTTAACTTGAAATGGAAGTTGGGAGGCGTGAATATAGATTACGAGAGCCTTGGAAACACTAAAATTGCACAGGATTAAGATATAATTGTAAAATAGTTATTTTAAACGAGTTATAAATGTGAGCAGGAAAAGTATGGAAACGAACTTAAAATAACTGTTTTCATAACTGAAAAAATGGAGTGAAGTGAATGAAGACAGAGGGAGTAAGAATCACACACACACACACAGCGAACGAAAAAAGATTTTAAAAAATCAGAAGCTAAGGGGACATACCGAACTAGGTCCATGGTAGTTGTAGAGGTTGGGCTAATTTCTTCTGAACGCACAGCTCCGGCTTCTCGATGCATATTGCGAGGGCTTCTGCAGTACAGAGTCGGAAACATACTGCTTTTGGTAGGTTTCTGTTGACTTTGTAAATTACTTTGAAAGAATCAGTTGAGATGTTGTGGGGGTGTTGATCAGATGTTCAATAATGGCACTTCTGATTGACCCGGTGCCTCCTCTTTGCAGCCACGATGAGTAATGTTCTCTAACACATTTCGAAAGAACGCGCATACAACGACCTATGTACCTAGCTCCGCACGAGCAGGTGAACTGGTATATGCACATTGAATTGGTCATATGCGAGAGTTTGTCCTTCGCGTTGTTTCGAAGTATTGGACGGCTAGAGAATGTCACTCTTGATGTTGCTGCAGGGAAGGTCTTCTTTGAAGAGCTGGATATTCTCCTCTTTAGGATATTGGCTGAGAAATCTCCCCTGATATTCAGATTCAGATACAGCGTTTTCTTTGGCGCTGAATCGCATTCTTCTCTTTTTGGTTGAGGTTTCATGTTCTTTTCGACAAAACGTGTTGGGTCACCAATTTGAGCCAGGATATTTCTGAGGAATAGGAACTCCTCTTCCACGCAATCGCTGCTGCAGATTTTTCTGATTCGATGGGTTAGTGCAATGATGAGAGCTCGTTTTCGGCTCAAAGGTATCCCACTATAGAAATGTCGGTTTTCTGTGGATGGACCTCTTCAGGGTTCCATCATCTCTTCTTCTTAATTCCACGTCCAGAAATGGAATCTTTGAATCGTTTTCTAATTCCATTGTGAATTTAATCGAAGGATGGAAATTATTAAATTCTTGTAAGATGCAGTTGAAGTTCGAGTTGTCGTAGCAGACTATAAAGGTATCATCAACGTATCTTTTGTATAGTAGTAGTTTGCTTGTTGTTGATTTTAAAACTCCACTCTCCAAACTGGCCATAAAGCAGTCTGCTAAAAGCGGGCCAAGAGGAGATCCCATTGCAATTCCGTCTTTCTGTCTGCGGATGTCGCCGTTAAAGGTGAATTGTACATTCAGCGTGCACCTCAGTAACAATTCCTTCAGATATGATATTGGTACTCCGGCGTTTGTATTGGATTTCTCCATATAATTGCACAGAAAGCAAATTGCTTCTGTTAGTGGCACGTTGGTGAAGAGAGATTCGACGTCTAGTGATAACATTCGTTTATCATTTACATTCAAATCTTTTATACATTCAGTGAACTAAAAAGTATCGCGAAGGGAATATTTGTCCCTTCGCGATACTTTTTAGTTCACTGAATGTATAAAAGATTTGAATGTAAATGATAAACGAATGTTATCACTAGACGTCGAATCTCTCTTCACCAACGTGCCACTAACAGAAACAATTTGCTTTCTGTGCAATTATATGGAGAAATCCAATACAAACGCCGGAGTACCAATATCATATCTGAAGGAATTGTTACTGAGGTGCACGCTGAATGTACAATTCACCTTTAACGGCGACATCCGCAGACAGAAAGACGGAATTGCAATGGGATCTCCTCTTGGCCCGCTTTTAGCAGACTGCTTTATGGCCAGTTTGGAGAGTGGAGTTTTAAAATCAACAACAAGCAAATTACTACTGTACAAAAGATACGTTGATGATACCTTTATAGTCTGCTACGACAACTCGAACTTCAACTGCATCTTACAAGAATTTAATAATTTCCATCCTTCGATTAAATTCACAATGGAATTAGAAAACGATTCAAAGATTCCATTTCTGGACGTGGAATTAAGAAGAAGAGATGATGGAACCCTGAAGAGGTCCATCCACAGAAAACCGACATTTCTATAGTTGGATACCTTTGAGCCGAAAACGAGCTCTCATCATTGCACTAACCCATCGAATCAGAAAAATCTGCAGCAGCGATTGCGTGGAAGAGGAGTTCCTATTCCTCAAAAATATCCTGGCTCAAATTGGTGACCCAACACGTTTTGTCGAAAAGAACATGAAACCTCAACCAAAAAGAGAAGAATGCGATTCAGCGCCAAAGAAAACGCTGTATCTGAATCTGAATTTCAGGGGAGATTTCTCAGCCAATATCCTAAAGAGGAGAATATCCAGCTCTTCAAAGAAGACCTTCCCTGCAGCAACATCAAGAGTGACATTCTCTAGCCGTCCAATACTTCGAAACAACGCGAAGGACAAACTCTCGCATATGACCAATTCAATGTGCATATACCAGTTCACCTGCTCGTGCGGAGCTAGGTACATAGGTCGTTGTATGCGCGTTCTTTCGAAACGTGTTAGAGAACATTACTCATCGTGGCTGCAAAGAGGAGGCACCGGGTCAATCAGAAGTGCCATTATTGAACATCTGATCAACACCTCCCACAACATCTCAACTGATTCTTTCAAAGTAATTTACAAAGTCAACAGAAACCTACCAAAAGCAGTATGTTTCCGACTCTGTACTGCAGAAGCCCTCGCAATATGCATCGAGAAGCCGGAGCTGTGCGTTCAGAAGAAATTAGCCCAACCTCTACAACTACCATGGACCTAGTTCGGTATGTTCCCTTAGCTTCTGATTTTTTAAAATCTTTTTTCGTTCGCTGTGTGTGTGTGTGTGATTCTTACTCCCTCTGTCTTCATTCACTTCACTCCATTTTTTCAGTTATGAAAACAGTTATTTTAAGTTTGTTTCCATACTTTTCCTGCTCACATTTATAACTCGTTTAAAATAACTATTTTACAATTATATCTTAATCCTGTGCAATTTTAGTGTTTCTAAGGCTCTCGTAATCTATATTCACGCCTCCCAACTTCCATTTCAAGTTAAAATTATTATTTCAATTTTGTTTCCATGCTCATTTTCTACACACTCGTTATCCGTTCTAATCCTGTGTTAATTTTGTTTCGAAGCCTCTCGTAAACCAGATCTAGTTGAAAATAATTGTCACCTTTTATTCGCCATCGCAATTATGTATCCATGTAAAACTATGTTTTCAAATGCGATTGTACAGCTTTTGAAAATGAAATCGCCGAAAAGATGTGTTTGCTGAACTTTGTGTTCTCTCCTTTTAATGTCTTTATGGTTGTTTTCTACGATCTGTAAAGGAGTGTGTCAACCGGGGATCGAACCCCGAACCACCTGTATGGTTGGCGAGTATTCCACCTTCGACGCACTTATATTTTAGTTTTAAATGTAGGTAAATTATAACACCAACTATTACGAACGTAAAACACAGAGAAATTTAAAAGCTCTTAAAGAAAAGAAACAAGTGGAGTCAAAATGCATGAGTAATGCGAACTAGAAATGCTTATGATTACCCAGAGACTTGCACCAACCTAAGAAAGTCGAGCAAACGTGAGGAACTGCAGTAAAACAGACAAACTGGAGCTAAATAAACTACCAAAACATGTCGACAAAAAAATGTGAAAGAACTAACAGGGGCAACCAATACTATTATTACTACTGCCATACACGTATACGGTCAATCTCTTAGGGTATCTGCTATTACGAAAATAATAAATTTACTTGAAATTTTCTGGTCCAACTTACAGTAAGAAACACTTATAGGACGATAGCCAAGGTCACGTTCAGATACATCAATCATCAGGCCTATACTGTTTGTTGTGGCACAAACTTGATGTTTCTTCCTATGCTCCATAACTTAAAGTTCATCAAACAGAATGTTACACACTTACATGAGGAGGAATCATCAATAATATTCTTAGCGGATACAAACTCATTGAAACTTTCCAACAAATGACTAGTATGACAAGATGTTTTTCGGCCAAGTTCAGTTCTGAAATATTAAAGTATTATTGAAATTCTCGAACCTCAGAAAAGCAAACAGATTTTGACCACAATACTCAATTACTCCACTGATTGTAGTTGTTGACTTGGCGACGAAGGGGGTAGATTCATATGAATCTCTGAGTAAATTATTTTTACGTTATATGTTACCTGAAATAGCCTATATGAGACTGGTCATTACTACACACAACCACAGTCACAAACTCAGGTGGATCATGATAAAAGCGGTAGTGATTAGACCACTGTCCTTTCTTTACCTGATCTTTAGATCCATAATGAAGAATTTCAAATGGTCCAACCAAACGAAAGCCAATCTCAGACAGTGCATCTAACAGAAAGTATAAAAATATATCACTGCTTTCAAACCAAGTGGTGCATCGTTGCTAAGAGTTTTACAAAACTCATAAAAACTAAAAAAATCTGGGGGACATTTGAGATAAAATCCTTGATCAATCAGTGAAATACGCTCCTGTATTTGTTCGGAATTTAAACATCCGAGTAGTGACGCCCCACTTTGGGAGTCCTTTGTTTTTTTGGAAATGGGTGGATTTCGTTCCTCAAGTTTGACATTTGAATTCCGCTTCCTTGATTTTCCCGTCATATTTGGGAAATTTCGACGCAGAAACTTCTACCTTGTCACAGACGGAGATACAAAAATAGAAAGAAACCAAGTTAGTCAAAATAAGTAAGAACCGGATAAAAATTTGTAATTAAAAACGAAACTAAGTCTGCTGACATAGTAATAGCAGCATTCATCAATTTTAATACATTATCAACTGAACTTCAGCATAATTTTCAGAACTCGAAGAAACTAAGGAAAGACTCGCTATGAACCATTCATTCGTCAGCTGAACTCAAATCAAAATTTAATTAACTGGATACTTCTAAAGAGCATTCTAACAGCGGAGAATCTTACATCGACTTTGTACACACTGTTAGAATGTATTCACTTGATCTCGCAGGCATGTTTTTTCCCAAATCTTTTCTGGTGCCAAAAAAGCAATGTTCACCATTTATTCAGTATTTGATATGGTTAGTGAAATCCACACTAATCCTCGACCGACAGCTACCACCTTACCGTTGCCGTCGGGTTTGTGTATTCCAATAATCCAACAAGTTAAACAAGCTGGGACAAATGTTTTTACACACTCTACTATGGTAGAAAGGTCAGCTGGTTGGCCACTAGACTGGAAACAGATGCAATCACAGAGTAAGTTGCTTGCTGCATAGTGCAGCGGAGGAGAGTAACCTTGCTGCTGGCCGGTAGAGATAACAGCAGTGGTGGAGACCAGCAAGCTTCTGATACCAAGGAAGACTTATAAAGGGTCAACTCTAAAAACTGTACATCTCAACAATCCTACACCAAACAGTAGCCGACCGAGAGGTCTTGCTTACGGATGAAACCAAAAACCTCTACATCCGAACAGTCTTTAACCGGCCTCAAGTAGTTGTCTCTACGGCTCAACGGCCATGCAACACTCATATCAAATAAGTAGTGATACCTCATTAAATTATTTCATTACCTTTTTACAGGATGACAGTGAAAAGGGCCGCGGACCTGATAGATGATGAATAGAGACATCAAAAACCACTATATTTGAATTATGCAAACATTGTTACACTAATTTAAGTATTTCAAGACTTCCCTTTCTGTTAGTATGTGCTGAAGAAAGATAAGGAACATCTTTGCAAAAGTTCGGGTTTCATCACAAAAACCTTGGGTGCAGCTGTGGTATGCGAATGAGGTAGTTTCAAAATTATATCAACGGACAACGGCTAGTAGATCCTGTGATGTGTAAACTTAAAATCCTTTCCTCAGTGGCTGAACCTTTTCATTTAGTAAGGTCCAGTAATACTGGAAGATGTCTTACCCAAGGCAATGAACTTAAACTTCCGACGCCTTTCAGTGAGTATTTGTTAAATCACCTAAAGTCTGCAGGGACATGTGTCAAGCATTCAGTAGGTATCGAACTGAAGAATTTCATACTACGATATGCATTTTTATACGGTTCGGAGCACGTGGCTTACAATGTGCAGTCATTAAAGCCCTTACCTCAGGAAGTCATAGTGCACGGGGAACTGGGACGTTTCTCTGCGTTCCCATTCGAATCACATATGAGTAATATTAGAAGTAGCATTGTGGCAACCTTGCAACTAAGCAGGTCACCTAACGGCTTATGGAACAGATGTACGCATAAGTAGAAACTGCGCCGACTGCATCGTCTTCCTCAGAGATACTAGACTTTGAAGTATATAGGGATAAGGATACTATTTACATGGGTAATTACTTGCTCACCACTTATCCACTTGATAATGCAGTAGTAGTAGTATTAGTAGTTAACACCACCCCAGGAATTACAACAGTAATCTTCGACGACGACACAATTAGGTTTAGGACTTATACGGATTTCACGAATTTCCTCGACAATCTTTTTGAATCGAAAGGTGTTGGAAACCAGTAAGTCAAGTAACGTTATTTCATTTCTATTACAGACAATTGAGTTACAGCTAAATTGCTTGGAGGACATTTGACACTCGATAGAAAGAGAGCATTGTATCTAAGCAGTGATGGAGACACCCTAGAAAGGGACGAAATCTCAGTAACAAAACACTACAGAGAGTTTCATAATTTCATCACAAGGAAATCTGCAGCTTACAGATAACAGCTTCTTCTACAAAAACGTCGGCTCAGAGGCAGGCGAAATGCAGGTTGGGCGTAAACCGGATATATATCCAAGAATGAATTTGTTCAGCGACAACATTTCGCCTGCTGCAATTTATTTCACTCTATTACTTCCATCAGAATGCAGCCAATCTTCAAAGCGTCGCCACCGATTTCAGCTGCCGATACATTAAAGTAACTCATGATTTGTTATCACTTAATTCACGTAACAGAAGCAGTTGGGAAAGGTGGATGGATGAAGTTAAAGATATGATGGGGTCCATGTCAAGTACGTCTGATATCTTTTTGGCCTTCATCTACATAATTTCAGAAGCAATGACCTTACTAAGCTGCAAAGATAACGGTTGCAGATAAGCAGCTAGGGTCATCAAGGAGGTGTAAACATCGACCGACTCACTGTAAATTCATCTACTCATTGGAAGTGACAAGGATTTGCTACTCTTCGATCAGTCTTTTAATGACTCCAAAACAAGACAACTTCGTAAGTCACATTTAAACCTTTAACTATCTGCTGGTCGTGCACTCGGCAAGTTCCCTATCATCGGATGCTAAGAAGACAATGAGGAATATGCTGAAATGCACTATGCATCCCAGTCCCACTAAACGGTACCGTGAAGAGACCGGGATTACGAAATTATGCTTTTGATCAAGTTATCAGAAGTAAGCGGTGCAAAACTATTTTCACGTTTAGAATTTATTGAATCGCAGTTTGCAAGTGAATTTAATCACGAGATTGAATTCAAGAAAAGTACAGATTTCACTACGCAGAATTACCTTCATGACTTAAGAGATAAATCACAAAAGCGTACGAGATGAAAAGCATCATTAAAATAACAAATTAAGTTCTTGTTAAATGTCACTCGTTTCCCATCTCGTCTTATTCATCATATTGCTCCATCAGTCTCATAATTGACTGCAGCATGCTTTCTGAATTAACTTTTGATCAATTCCCATTCAGCAATAATCAATGGCTGCAAAGACAAATAATAGATTGGTTGGGGAATTTCATCATGAGTTGACATCAGTTAGAGAACCATTGGAAAGCCTGAAAGTGGTGGACAGTCGTTTTGACCCTTCAGCAGTACACACCCACCAGAGTTCGAACCCGGGACCTTCTGGTTGCAAAACGACTGGTGGATCATTAAGCCACTGGGACACGATACAATGGCCAATCCATGAATTCCAACATCTGCCAATTCATGACATAACATGACCACTTCGCAATGTCTTCTTCGGTGAGGTACCTCATTGATGCCTCTTGCAAAAATTCAGTGTTGACAGTGAAACAGAGAGTACAGCAGATCAAAGGATTCAAAAGAGAGAGGATATTCTTACGTTACAAATGTAAATAATGTGCATTTTTAAATTTTGAGGAAAGGTTTTGTATTTCCCAATGAATGAAAAAACGAAATTTTTACTGACGTTTCGCTCTGTATATACATAAATACGTATAAATTATATCCATTTTTCCACTAATCATTGTGTTATATATGTACGATTCATTGAGAATATGAGGGGATGTTTCTGGAAAAATGTAATTCCAGCATTGTACCTTATGCCTCCTATAAAAGTATTTTTGTGGCTGTAATTATAGTGGAGTTCTCCAATCAATTAATGTCGTTAAGAGTGGTTGGCAACATTATGGACAAAGCCACGAAATCTTACTTTCATAATCTGAAAGTGTCCAAAGGCGTATGCTGAAGAAAAGAAGTCAGGTAATACTGCAAAACGCCTACTTCTAAAGCCATAGTTTAATCAACAAGTAGTAATCGCAACAATAATTTTTATTTCTATGCAATTGAAAAAAACCCTGGGAGGAAACAGTAACAGTTATGTAAGTACACTTTTCTAAGTGTAAATGCTGAAAATGTAGAGATGTCTTCCTCAACTAATTTGATATTTCGCTTATTTGCAGATTGCTGCCAGTGGACCTCGACGGATTTGTAGTGACACTGTACTGTAATAATATATAATATAAAATACTCAAAAGTGGTTTCTTTATGAAAACTCAATAAATGGGGTACAGTTAATTATAATTAGCAGCAATGTTTCCATAATGCGTTGAACATGTCGGTTTTTCTTCGGTAAAGGATTTAGGGGTCGCTGAACTTATGATAGTGAATTGCGGCAGAATACGCATAGGCAATCATGAAAGGATGCTAGCCAATGCTAGTTTAGGGTCAAAATCATTCTGAAAATTAACAGTATACACTGAGGTAAATCTGGTCGTCCCGAAGTAATTCCAGTAAGTGGTGAATCTGGGCTGAGATGCCTGAAATAAGTCTGATAAGCAATCCCAGTAGGTTCCGAGAAACTTAGAAAAAGAACCCAACTAACATTTTCCCCGGCCGCACTGCAGAATTTTGGGCAAAAACTTCGGGCGCATTGCAGAACGCGGGAAAGTGATCTGCAGTCTGCCTCAAAGTTCTACAGTGCGCCCGAAGTCAGCTGTTAACAGCTGAATTAGTGCTTTCGACATGACTGGAACTCATAAGTTCTAGTTTGTGCACATATGCAAACCACTTCAGAACAGTTTCAGGACAAGATAATGATAGAAAGTCAGAGTGAGTTCAGAATTTGCGAAATTTACTTCAGCAATATTGTCCCAGCTGGCATCGACTTCGTGCCCACTATGTAACTTTGGGGCAGACTTTGAGCGCATTGCAGAAACGTAGGGGTAGACTGCAGATAACTGTCCCACTTTCCGCACTGCACCCGAATAATTGGCCCCGAAATTTCTACAGTAAGCCTGAAGAAAATGTTAGCTAGGGTAAGCTTGCGATGTTGGATTATCCCTGAATTCCTGATATAAGTGACACCAAAATTTCCACAATATTTTTCATTTGAGGTGAATCTTTCTCCTAGACAATAATCTATGTAAGTGTTAGCATCAGAAGAATTCCCGCCACAACGTATAATCTGCACCGGCATGCACCAGCAAACTCACTT